GAGCCGAAGTGAGTTATTTATTAATTCTAGTATGCTTTAGTCACTGCCTAAAAGGTGAAGTAGTTTGTAAAACAAAGAGAGGGTCAAACTGGTGGAAGTAAGTGCTGGTATTTGCTTTTGGGGTTGGTTTGTTTGTTTGTTTGTTTGAGAGCTTTTTAAGATTAAAAGTGAACTTTCATTTTTCCAGGCCCATGGAAGAGAGATCTAACAAAAAAACCAAACCAGTGAAAAACTGCTGCAGTACGCTAATTAAGTACAGTGTTCTAAAACTAGGCGCACAAGGTGACCCTTACTTAGTTAATCAGTCCTTGCTGTTCTCGAGACAGTGCCGTTCTCTCTCCTTTCCCCGAGTACTCCTTTGCCATGATTTTAGGAAGAAAGATCACTACCTTGCCCTTCCTAGTGACTGTCAACTAAGTATGAACCACCAAAGTCACCTAGAGTTTGTCTATTAACTTCAGCAAGCATTTGGTTTAGCCCTCAATTACCCATCTCATCTCCTCTAAGAAGGCTCTGTTTGTGGAAAATCAGACAGTAGCTGCCATTGCCAACACTTTTCAAATTTCAGTTAGTTCTTAAACTGTGGGTGATGAAAACTGCAGAGAATGGTGGAGAAATCTTAAGGCAAGCAGTACCGAGCACTAAGAATACCTGAGTCCTCAGGAAAGCACCAGTGTGTTTCCTTCTATACAGGAACATGCCTTTACTGTGCTTCCATAAATACGGTGCATTGAAGGCCCATGATAGGATAGTAGGTCAACCAGATATCTCCCCTTCCCATCTCCATTTGGAAGTTCAAAAGTCACAAAACCAATCAACACACAGATCAAGCTATTCAGCTTCCTAGCCACAAAGTGGCAACAGCAGAGGTCCCTTTGAGCATCTTGCACTGCTGACCCTGCAGATGTGCACACAGAACATGCAGTCACAACAGAGCCAGGAATGTAGCAGGGATCTCTAACAAGCTGCTATAGCCTAACCATGCCACACAGCAGCCAACAGACACATCCAAGGCTTTCTCCGTACGAACCCAATTCAAGCTCAGGGATACTGGGACTACCACTCTGCAGCTCCTAGCCCTGTAAGGAGAGGCTGCACTGGAAACAGGAACCTCTGGAAAAGTATGGTTCAGCCATCAATCATGGTCAAGGTTGTACAGAAGCGCTGAACCAAAAGCAGTAAACATCTACATTCAGGGTGTATCAAACAGGCTCTGACTCCTTTTGGGCTGTAAGAGTTCCCTGAGGCCCAACTCTCTGGATCACCAAGTTTCAGAATGCTTACATCACAGCATCCTCTCTCCAAGAAAGCTTACTGGGTTTCAGAAGAGTAGTTAAACTATTTCCTATTCCGGGGAAAAACAACAACAACAACAAAACCAAACCACCAGCAGCAGCAACACAAAACAACCCAAAACCAAAACTAACCGACCAAACAAAAAAAACCAAATGAAAACAAAAAACCCCCTACAACACACCAAAACCAACCCACTCCCCCCAAAAACCCTGCCAACATACGTGCAATGACAATTGGCAGGAAAAAAAAAGTGTTAGAAATTCATGTCATTATTTGTAATAATGATTATGCAGTTTGCCCTCTAAAAGTCATTGCATTTAGTGTTTTATTTTGGAGATGAGAAATATAAATCAGAACTTTATCATATAGAATTTCAGAGCCAAACGCTTTTATTCCAAAATTTGAACAGTGGCTTAGCCACTTAAGATAAAATCAGCACTGGTTAGAAATGAAACTCTAGAGCTCCTAGCTCTTGTTCCTGAATTCACGTTGCCAAACTTACCTTTCATAAGCAAAACGGGAGTGCAAGAATTTGCATATGGGCTGGTTTTTGGAGCTATACTGGATAGTAACTGCAGAAGAGTATTAAGACCGTACAAAAACCAATGCCACCTGAAGAATGGAAAGAGACTGCCAGGGATAAATTAATTTTGTTTGGCGTTTTAAAAAGGATCCTTCATCTTTGTTGTATAAATCTAGTAGGTCAGATTTCTCTCTGAAATTGACTCCAGACTCCTCCTCTACAAATCAGCTGTCCTACAGTGATACTGTAAAGCTTTTATAGCAACAGCAGCATTATATCTCAGCAACAGCAACATCCCCTACCAGAAGATGGAAGTAATGAAAACATGCTAATGCCATATCAAAAGAAGCAAGTTCCACTGCGCCAACATAGCCAAGGTCATTCTCCTCAACGACAAGTGCCTTACCCGTCTCTGAATTCACCTCCTCCAAGGCTGAGACTAATTGCTCTGTTAAACTCAGTATATTAAAATATTCCGGTTTCCACTGAAGAATGAAAACATTCACTATGATTTACTGAACAGCATACTTCTTAACAATGTTAATCTGGCTCAGTTTCCTACTATGGTCATCTTGTATGCCACACATTCACTCTGCTCTAGCCCAGCATGTACAGCACTCTTACAGATACTGGGGCTGAAGGGGTAGAAAAGTCTGGTTTCTGCTTGCAGCAAATGAGACCTCTGGGACTGGATTTGAACTCCTCTTGCAGAAAAGCTCACTGAGGAAAAAGTCCTTCCCAAAGATGATCTCTGTGTATACTCTATCATTTCTTTTTCATCAGTTGTAACAAACCCTTGCACTTAAGCAAATCCAGAGGTTATTTTTTATTTTGCTTACTTAAATTTTCAGGCAACTACATTTCTTACAGAATGCAAATTTAAAGAATTAAAGATCCAAGAATTAAAGTCTTAGCAGTAAAAGGGTTTCTGTAGTTTACTTTATAATGCTTATTTGCCAAACAATCAGAATGAAACTTTCACTGCTTTATTTACATGTTAACGAACATTGACCCATGTCCTTTACAACTGCTGGCTGGACAGCAGGACTGTTACAGAAGAAACTACAGACAGATGAAGAGCCACATTCTGTGTACAATTATGCCTATGGTAAAAAAGGATTTTAGACTGCTCTACCAAAAAAAATACTATTAAAAAAATGACTGTTAAAATGACCAGTTTGCAATGGAAACTGCAAAGTGTGCAGTCAGAGTAATACTAGATCAAGAACTGCTTTGGCCAACTCACCTCACTTATAGCAGCTGCAAGGTCAATTTAAACAACTAGCAAAATAGGGTTATACCTGCTTTGACACAGCATAAAGGAGACAGACTGTGGACACGAGAGAGAGAGAATTCAGCTGAAGTACTAAAATACTTGATGAGTGTTTGTGAGACTTTCATTTTTCCCTTGCAGGCTATGCCTTTTTTCCTGCT